CGCTCTTCCTTAGAACCTAGGTCCTTGACTCAGGGTTGCCTCCATGCCTCATCCATCTGTTCCTCCCACCCAGCAAGGATCCAGAGCTTGCAATCTTCTGGGGCCAGGGATCCAAACAGCTCTGGAGAAAAAGGACATGGTGGCAGAGTTTGTCTCCTAAGAGACTAGCTTAGTTGCTGGAGCATTCATCACAGAAACAAAGAGATTCAGGAAGAGAGTATAATTCCTTGGCTAAAAACCCATCACCCACAAATCAGTATCAAATCCTTGCCTAACTTGTTTGGGAAGAAAAATTCTTAACCTCCGCGCTATTCTGAAGTGGCATGTACAACTTTTCCAGAAATACCATTAATTATGTTTTCTGCAATTACAAAAAGGAGGCAAACACTGTAAACAAGAGTTTGAAAGAAGAGCTGCTAAAGATTCTAAGTATTAACCCAAGTGTGGAGAGCTTTGCCAATGCTTGGGCTCTGTATCAGTTAACAAGGAAGAAGGATTAACTGCAGGGTATCACAAGACATGTGGTGCTCTTAAAAGTAATGGAAGAAAGCAGGCTGAAAACGTTGTATTTGTGTGATGCATAACTCAACCCTCAGAAGCTGTTCTGTGATCTTTTTAGCCGAGACTTTTTCCCTGGTAATGGAAACTAGGATAAAGTGGAATGCACATCACAATATGAAATGCTTTATCAGAGCTGCCGAAGAAGATGCTAGTCTGTAATATTTTTTGATATGTCACAGGATACTAAGTCAATGGTTTATGACACTATCAGGTTACATGTCTATGAATTTTCATAAAATAAAAGCCCTGTGTTTACATCTTGAGTAATAACTTAAGGTATTGAGATTGACAATTTTTAAGACTCTCATTTTTCACCATTTTGGTAGCTGGAACGTTTCATTGACTAAACGGAGAAAGATGAAGTCGATGTCAGTGTCTGGCACAAAACACCACGCTGCTGATGTGGTCCCACTTGGTCTGCAAATAGTACACCACTACCTTAAAGACAGTAGCATGAGAAACCCCATTAAGATACAATTTCAAACAAGGTGGTCCTGGAATAGTATATTATAGAAAAATCAGTTTTACAAAACTTAGTCTGAAGCTACATTTAGCCTGTCAGTTTCCCTTGAATATATGGAACCTGAAGAAATGGGGTGTAATCCCCAATCAACCTCCCAGATTTTCATCAACTCAAGAGATCAGCCCTCAAATGGCACCTGAAAGAAAACCATGGATTTCTGTCCTATATATAACCACTAAATGCAGGTGTCCAAAGACACCTGCTTTAGAAAGAATGCTCTATTTTCACATGGTATGACAAAATTTCATGTTTGCAGGATTAAGTTATTGTGTGACATGCATTAATAGTAGTTACAATTTAATATAAGTAAAGGTTTGGCATGAATTCAGGTAGCAGAAATGTAAAGATACAGATATTCACCATATAGCAGCAGCAACTTGTATCAAATACACTTGTTTTTGTTTCTTATTCCTGAGGAGCATCACTCTTGACAAGCAAGCCATGTAACTGTCAATACGGCGTATTGACAGGTAGATACCTGCATGCAGAACTGCCTGAGCTTACCTAGTAAAAGCAAAAGGACTCAAAGCAAGAAACAAACAACTAAAATTCTAATTTAGCATTGCTTTTGCATGCAAGTTCAGTGAATCATTCATCCCTTTATGTCAAATCAATATCAGTGTTTTCCTAGAAAACATGCTTTAGCTAGACCCTAGTTATGCTTCAGGAAAACACTGAAAACTTGGTGAAACTGACCTGACCTCTTGCATGTTACAGACCTTAACTAGCCTTAAATTTCACGAATTTGAAGAATTTTACTACAAAGTTTGAATCCAGAGCTCTTAAGAATGAAGCTCTTATTCCCAAGTTTTTATTCATGCATACCAAAAAAGGTATCTGGTTTACAGAAATATAAAAAGTACACATGTAATTCATATGACAATTGGTCCCACTGAAAATAAGTTTGGTGTTGCATTTTCAAATAGGAAACGTATCTGCTCTTTCTGTCCAGTGTCACACATCCTGTCACAGCCGTTCATAAGTCTCAGAAGGTGAAAGGGGCCTTTGCCACCTAGATATATTTTTCCACCTTAGCTCTCTGTATGTCCTCCTGTTATATTTTAGATGCTGCCTTGACAAGGCAAATAGATCCATGGCATGCTCTCTTGAATGGCTGAGGAAATGAGGTAAAT